CCACCCCCGCATTTGGGAACCCCGCGGTCCTCCCAGCCGCTCATCCGGGCAAGAAAATCCGGCGTCTTTTCTCATTTAACCCGCGTTTCCATGAACTGAGCCCCGGCACCAGCTAATCCGCGGCACCGGAGCCCAAAGGAGGCAAATTAGTGACCAGCTTTTCCAGTCGAGGCCGGCGGTGATCGCCTTGGCGGCCTTTGTGATCACGAGATGAACACGGCCGCCCCACACCAGAGGCCCGGGGACACGCGGAGCCGGGGCTGAACGGGGGCGCAGAGCCGCCGCGAGGCGCGCGGGTGAACGGGCGGCGGCTTTCGGGGAACCCGTCTCGTTACCACGTGAAGCGCCGCGGCGGGCGGAGCGGCTGATTGTTGTCGCCGCGCGGCCCGGGCGCCCCCTCCGTCCTCCCGGGCGCCCCCTCCGTCCTCCCGGCGCCTTCATGGTCGCTATGTGCCCGCAACGCGGCTAATGAGGCGGCGCCGCGCTGCGTTTCGCGCGCAGCCCAGTGAGACGCCCCAGAAGGACCCCCGCACCCCGAAGCCGGGAGGGCCCGGCGGCCGGCGGCTCCCTCACTGGCCGCGCCGCCGAGAGGAGTCCCTACCAGCGGCTCGCAGCGGCCCGGGTCCGCGGACGCTCGTGGGGGGCGGGCGCGCGCCTGTGGGGCTGACCCCGCGGAGGGGGCCCTGGACGGCGAGCCGCGAGCTGCAGGGCGCTTCCCGAGCACCCGCGGCCCCCGGACCAGGCCCGGCCTCTGCGCCCCCACCCCACCCGCCCCCCGCGTTTGTCATGCCCGCCGGGGGTAAACTGCTGTGTCTCCCTCTTACCTGTTTGAAAGAAGGGGGGGACGCTTTATTTTACTTAAGGCAGCAAATTAGCTGCCACGTGCTATCTAGTCTTAAGTTTTAAAAATGGTGGCCGTTAAGGAACAGAAAGTGACGCCTCTGACTCGGCTCTGGAAAACCCTGCGGGCCGCAGCGGGCCGTGTGAAATGCGCCTGTGGTTGGGGGGGTGCTGTCGGGGTGCTGTCCCGAGGCCCCCCTGCTGCTGTGTGGCCCACAGCGGGCCGGGCCGAGCTGGGCTGGGCTGCCCAGTGAAGGGCGCGCGTGGAGAGGGCGGCCGGGGGACCCAGGCCCCGGGAGCGCTAACCCGCCCCTCTCTCCTGTCCCGCAGAAAAGCAACCTGCAGCCTCTGCCTCACCAGGCCGAGCAGGAGGACTCCACCAAGTTCGTGGTGCTCACGCTGACCTCCATCGCCGCCATGGCCGGGGTCCTGCTGGCCTCCGGGGTCATCTACTGCCTGCGGCACAGCAGTCACCACCGGCTCAAGGACAAGCTCTCCGGCCTCGGGGGCGACCTGGGCCCCGACGCCACTGCTGCCTACCAGGTAAAGCGAGGCTTTCTGCTTCACCGGTTCACCAGGTTATTTAGCGGCCCGGCCCCTCCCCCATTCCCAGCGCTTCGCCGTTTGTTCCTAGCGTGGGTCCCTTTATGGTGACACTTTGAAACTTGGCGCTAGCGTTTACGTAAATACCTTCCACCACAGCTTACTGCTCTGTATGAACCCTGTGCCGTTCTCAGAGAGTCTCATGTTAGCTGTGAAAGCGGGCTGCTCACTGGGAACATGCAAAAAGTGCAGTACATGAGTTATGTATCATCTGTTACCTTTCTTAACTTAGCAACTAGTAATGCAAGAGGCCAGAGTGGCACGAGGTATCGGCTGTGTAGGTGTGTGACGGTGTCCCGTCGCCATGGATGTCCTTGGGTCTTCCATGAGAAGGTCCTTTGACCTGCTCTGTTGCCAACCCGCTGCTATTATTTGGATAAAGTGAACGCTAATGCTGAAAATGGAAAGTAAACAGAAGCCGTCTCCATGGGAACAATGGTGGCCGCCGTGTGCTGGCGATACAGAAATATTCAGGCACCCGTGAGAGTGTGAATTGGGCAGATTCAGACCAAACACGACATAAGAAAGGCACTGCCGTTCTGGAAGCTGTGTAGCCATCACATCCGTATCTAACCGTGTCCTGGGATGAGATATGCCCTCCCTGGGCAGCAGTGCAAACTGACCACAGGCCAGTGCAGGCATCTGGCTCCTTCTAACATGAAATATCATTGAGCCCCACATTTGTTTTCCCACTTAGGAAGGTAAAATAATTTAATCGAGTTTAATCAAGATGTATTTGCGGGAGATTTTCCCCCATTGGACGAGACACTTGTCTCTAGTCATGTGATGATGACGTGTAATACATCTTATAAACAACACGTCATGTCTTACCATAAATGTAAGTTAGATATTATTATTCTATCATCAGAGTTACACGGTGGGGGGGGTCTCAAGCTGCTTCTAGAAGACGCCCCAACCGCCCTGCATGGCACCCGCCCTCCATGAGCTCCCCTGGGCTACTCTGACCCCCTCCCATAAAGACAGGCACAGATTTATAAAATCCCTGTGTTTTATTGGGACCAGGAGATAGCTTTTGTTTCCATTTCAAAATCCACGGCACTGTCTTTGCGTGGAGAACACCTCTAGTTTTCCGGGGCAGGTCACGGCCTGGTCAGTGTGACCTTTTTCTTATAAAGAAATGGCAGCTTCAGATGTGTGGAAGGTGACATTTCAGTTGCTGCACATGGCTCTACTTCAAAGCAAAAGCAAAGTCACGTTTGAAGAAGCCTGGGAAAAAAATGTCACATAAACTAGTAAGAATTTACCCAGAAACTCGATGGAGTGAGACTGTCAGTGCAGGCTGCTGCATCCTCTGGGCCAGGCCTATGTCAGGACATAAATAAATTATCACACCGGTTCTCTTCCGTGTGCGAGAGACAGGAGATCAGACGGGGGTAGATTTTAGAAAGCGTGGCATCCTTTGATACTCTTTGAAATTCAAATATAAAATATTGATAGAATGGAAAGGTTGGACTTGCGTGCAGACATGACTAATTCTGACAAAAATGCAGGTTGAAAATGCATACTTAGAACTGAGTTTGTGATAATTAACAGAAAAAAGAAGTGTTCCCAGTGACAGCTCTAATTAATAGTATCTGTGATTAAAATCATGCCCTTCCAGCAGGAAAATTGTTTGAATTTCGTAGAGTGACCTTTTTGCTGTTCCTCCTGGGGGCTTGGTGGTTAAGTTGATATTGATTTTATAATGAGCTCTGGTTTGTTTAATAAGAATCTGTAATCCAGACAATAAATGAAATGTGTGCTTTTCTTCAATCCAGGTTAATACAAAGGAAAAAAAAAACCTTTTCCTTTAAAAATATGATCTAGAAAATTTTGGAAGTGAAATTATTGTAAAGATTCTCTGGTGGGCTTAGTTTCAAAATCGGCGCAACATACGGTTCGGCAGCCGCTTCGGCTAAGCGTGGACGTTTGCCCATTACGGTGGGCTGTTTACTGGGGAGTTTTGATTTGTTTTTGGCAAAGCAGGATCCGCAAATGGGGACGGGGTTTCATGGTTCTAAACTCAGCTGAACTTATGTGACATACTTGTGAAAGCTACGGCTGACCCTTGAACCCCACAGGGTTGGGGCGCCCCCCCTCCCCCGCCCCCAGTGCTGAGATATAAGGGGGCTGGCCTCATCTCACTGGCAGTACAGGGTTACGAAAGCGCAGATGCTCAGTGGTTTGAATGTAAGTCATGCGTCGGAGCAGCAGGGTACTTTGCCTGACATTGTTTTAGGTTTGCGATATTTTTAAAAACTTTTCGGATACCTTCTGAAACTTGAAGGGGGTCTTAGAGGCAGCTACAGAAAACCCACACGAGCTGTGGGCCCCCCTGATGAGCTAAGACCCACTTCGGTTACAAAAGGAACACCTTCTGTTTGTAACGACAGCTGACGGTGAACTACAAGGGTTTGAACTGCTCGGGTCCACCTCCGTGTGAATCAGTAAATACACAGCCAGACCCCCGGGTCCCAGGTCTGAAACCTGCAGATCCAACCAACCACAGTCGGAAACAGTATTTTTGATCTGCGGCTGGTAGCCCACGGGTACGAGGGCCGACTGTGCACCGTTCTGGGCCGTTTTACGTAAGGGATGGAGCGTGCCCGGATGTGGGTGTCCAAGGGGCTCCCGGAACCAGTCCCCTGTGGATCCCGAGGGGTGACTGTTACATCTCGGGAGCCACGAGCTACACGTGGGTTTTCAGCTGCTCGGGGCGAGGTGGGGTCCATGCCCTGCGTTCAGGGCCAGCCGGACTGTGTGTGCACCATTAGACTTGAGTGCAAACATGTTAACACACTTTTTCTTTTTTCCTCAAAATACAACTATTTCCTAGGCAGAGTCAGCCTTTTAAAGCTTTCTTAGTTTGTGTGTGTGCGTGATTGTGTGTGTGTGTGTGTGTGTGTGTGTGTGTGTGTGTGTGCTTTACCTACTGGAAAATCAGCTTTCTTGATAGACTCCAAAGATGTCAAGGATGTCATCAGATAATCTATTGAAGTTTAATTTGCTTGAACTTGAAAGAACTGGATGTAGTAACTTTTAGAATAACTGAAATCCATTTTTAAAGGTCATTTTTAATGGAATGGTGCCACCAAGTTTTTTCCCATTGTTTTAGTAAATGTTATTTTTTTCCTTCTAAATATATAAAACAATATCGTATTTGGATTAAATTTGTACTTATTATCTAAAAAGCCAATTTCTTTACTTTCATTCTTTTTTCCCCATATTGTCATGGCACTTTATATCTGTGTATATAATGTATACAGTGGACCCCTGAATTAAAAGGAACTCCAACCTCCCCTGCAAACAAAAATCTGAGTCTAACCTTGGACTTCCCCAAACCTTTCCTAGCCCACTGCTGACCGGGAAGAAACAGAAACCGCCAGGTAACACCGATTTCGTATGTTTTATGTATTATGTATTCTATTCTCACAGTGAAGTCAGCTAGAGGGAAGAAAATGTTAGAAAGTGGTAAGGAAAAGAAAATACATTTATAGTATTTGCAAAAAGAAGTCCACTGGAGGTGGGCCCACGCAGTCCCATCCGGCGCTGTCTGAGGGTCTGCTGCACACTTGCCCACCACGCTCACTAAGATAATTCCAAGCAAGGGCGGCATATGGGTCCCTGTACACGCAGCGTTTTTTGACGTCACTGCCCTCTTCTGCGGGAGCTGATGGGTGAAGCTGCCGAAACGAGTTGTTGGGTGGTCAAAGACATTGTCCTTTTCCTCTCTGGGCCGCTTTGAATGTTGCATCCGTTTCTTTGGGGCTTTGATCACCTTGGAGCGGCCAGTTTCGAATCCTTACAGCCCACTCTCCCCTCCCCACACGGGGCACAGATGCCTGCGCCGTTTTCAGCCGGTCTCCTTGTTACCTGGAGGCCTGAGGAACCGGCCCCGAGGAAAGCACGCACATGGATGACAGGATGGCTGTACATGCTACTCAGCGCACGTGCCATCGGAGAGGTCCCTGGTGCAGTGACGGCGTGCATGGGGATGGCCCCTGGGCTCAGGCTGACCGACGCACCTGTGAGCCTGATGTGCCCTCACGTCTCACCTGCAGACGAGAGCGGTCTGGCCTCTCCACCCAGGACACGTCACCGCTGGCTGATTCTCGGGGGCCCCTGATTAAGGGACCCTTTCTCTAGGCGCGTTGGTGTAACCGCTAGTGGTAGAAATGGCAAGAGGGGCGCCCGATTTAGGTGGAAAGCTGCCTCGTGTCCTGAGCTCTAAGGTAACAACTGCAGCAGCCTTGTCCACGGGTCAGCTGGCTTTGCTGGCTCCGTATCTAAACTTTCAGGTCAAAATAATTTCTTTTGGGGCCGGCCGAGTGGTGCGATGATTAAGAACTGGCTTGGGACGCCAGAGGGCCCCGGTTCGGATCCCACATATGAGGGCCAGTGACACTGCCCTCCACAGCTAAGATGCTGAACAACAGCTCAACCTTGAGCTGGGCTGCTGTGAGTCGCCGGCGACGGCATAGGCTGCAGCCCCTGTGGCAGTGGGTTGCCATGGGCTACCATATGTAGCCAGCAGCCGCAGTGAGCAGCCGTCCAGAAGCCGGCGACTGATGTGCCTCACCCGGGAAGAGCGCAATGATGGTGCCAACATGGGCCAGTGAAGCAACGTCCTCCACAACTAGACTGAAGAACAAGAAGGACAGCAACTTGTCTGTTCCCCTTCCCCCAATTCCCCAGCACTGTTCCCATCCCCCCAATTCCCCAATTAAATAATAATAATAATAATAATTTGTTTTGCAAATACCCAATAAGCAAAACCTGCCCTTCACAACCGGAAGGGCACCCTAAAATATTGTGAAAGCATTTTGTTTTACTGCATGCTGGTGAAGCCTAAGAACTGGGATCTCTCGGTTTGCCTTTGCCGCAGTCGCTGACGGTGCAGTGTCTGTAGGCAGAATTCTCTTGAAACTTTCAAATACTGA